ACATACAATCTTCCAAAACTGAATCCAAAGAAACAAAATTCGAACAGACTTATTACTAGTAATGAAATTAAATCAGTAATCAAAAAACTCCCAAAAAACAGAAGTCCAGGGCCAGATGGTCTCAAAGGTGAATTCTACCAAATACTGAAAGAAGGGTTAATACCTATTCTTCTCAAACTATTTCAAAAAATAAAGGAGGAAGAAAAACTTCCAAATTCATTTTAAGAGGCCAGCATTAGCCTGCTACCAAAACCAGACAAAGACACTACAGAAAAAGAAAACGGCAGGCCAATATCCCTGATAGACAGATGCAAAAATCCCCAACAAAACATAAGCAAACCAAATTCAGTAATACATGAAAGGATCATTCACCACGATCAAGTGGAATTTATTCCAGGGATGCAAGGATGTGTGATACATCACATTAACAAGAAGGATGAAAACCATATTATCTCAATAGATACAGAAAAACCATGTGACAAACTGCAATATCCATTCATGATAAAAACTCTCAACAAAGTGGGCTGAGGGGAAACATACCTCAACGTAATAAAGGCCATCTATGAAACAACGCACAACCAAATATCAAACTCCATAGTGAAAAACTGAAAGCTTTTCCTCTAAGATCAGGAATAAAATAAGGATGTTCACTCTCATCACTTTTATTCAACACAGTACTGGAAGTCCTAGCCACAGCAATCAGACAAGAAATAAAAGGCATCCAAATTGGTAAGGAGAAAATAAAATTATTACTCTTTAGAGATGACATGATACTATATATAGAAAACCCTGAAGACCATAAAAAAAAACTATTAAAATAAGTGAATTCAGTAAAGTTACAAAATGTAAAATTAATGTACAGAAATCTGTTGTGTTTCTGTACACTAATAATGAAGTAGAAATTAAGAAAATACCATTTACAAATGTACCAAAAAGAAAAAAATACCTAGGAATAAATTTAACCAAGGGGGGGAAAACTATACTCTGAAAATTTTAAGAAATTAAACAAGAAACTGAAGACAATACAAACATATGGAAAAATGTACCATGCTCATGGACAAGAAGAATAATGTTAAAATGCCCATCCTACCCAAAGCGATTTAAACATTTAATGCAATCGTTACCAAACAACAACAGTGCTTTTCACAGAATTAGAATGGTACTAAAATTTGCCGAAACTACAAAAGACCCCAAATAGTCAAAGCAATCTTGAAAAAGAAGAACAAAGCTGAACAATCCCGATTTCAAGATATACTATAAAGCTATTGTAACTTAAAGAATATGGTACTGGTGAAAAAACAGATTAATGGAATAGGATAGAGTGCTTGGAAATAAAGCCATGCTTTTACATTCAATTAATCTATGGAAAAGGAGGCAAGAATATACAATGGGGAAAAGACAGTCTCTTCAATAAACGGTGCTGGGAAAACTGGGTAGTTACACGCCAAAGAATAAAACTGGACCACTTTCTCACACCATACATAAAAATAAACCCAAAACGGATCAAAGTCCTAAATATGAGACCTGAAACCATAAAATTTCTAAAAGAAAACACAGGCAGTAATCTCTTTGACATCAGCCTTAGCAACATATTTATGGATACGTCTCTTCAGTAAAGGGAAACAGAAGCAAAAATAAACTACTGAAACTAAATCAAAATAAAAAGCTTATGCACAGTGAAGGAAACCATCAACAAAATGAAAATGCAACCCTACTGAAAGATTTCTGCAAATGATGTATCTGTAAGGGGTTAATATTCAAAATACATATAGAACTTATACAACTCAGCACCAAAAAACCCCAAATAATCTGATTAAAAATGTGTGGAGGACCTGAGAAGACATTCGTCTAAAGAAGACATACAGATAGCCAAGAGACACACAAGAAGATGCTCAACATCACTAAATCAGGGAAATGTAAATCAAAACCACAATAAGATGTCACCTCACACCAGTGAGAATGCTAGTATCAAGAAGATTAAGAAATAACAAATGTTGCAAGGATGTGGAGAGAAGAGAAATCTTGTGCACTCTTGGTGGGAATGTAAATTGGTGCAACCACTATGGAAAACAGTATGGTGATTCCTCAAAAAATTAAATAGAAACACCATATTATCCAGTAATTCTACTAATTACCCAAAGAAAATAAAAACATCAATTCAAAAAGATATATGCACCCCTACGTTTATTGCAGCATTATTTACAGCAGGCAATATTTTTTTTAAGTAATCTCCATCCCCAATGTGAAGGTCAAACTTACAACCCCGAGATCAAGAGTTGCATGTTCTACTGCCTGAACCAGCCAGGTACCCCTTAACTGTAGCCAATATACTGAAGCAATCCCAAGTGTCTACTGATAGATGGGATAAAGAAGATGTGGTATGTATACACACACAAACACACACAGACATATTAGTCAGCCATAAAAATGAATGGCATCTTGCCATTCATGACAACATGGATGGACCTAGAGGGTTTGATGGCTAAGTAAAATAAGTCAGAGAGAGAAAGACAAATAGTACAGAATTTCACTGATATGTGGACTCCAAACGTCAAAAACAAATGAACAAACAGAAACAGACTCATAAATACAAAAAACTGGTGGTTGCTAGAGGGGAGGTGGGTGAGGGGATAGGCAAAAGAAGTGAAGGAAATTAGGAGGTACAAACTTCTAGCTATAAAACAAGTCACAGAGATAAAAAAAAAAAAAAGACAAAACACAGCATAGGGCATATAGTCAATAATATAGTAACATTTTGTGGTGACAGAAAGTGACTTAATTGTGGTGAGCACCGAGTAATTTATAGAACTGTAGGATTGTCACGTTGTACACTTGAAACTAATAACACTATGTCAACTACTCTAAAATAAAATTTTAAATATCTTATAAATTTTAACGATCACCATCATCACTTTCAGTGATACAAAGCCTCTGTCAGACTGCTAGTTGTTCTTCAATACCCATTAACCTCCTTTTCTAAAGTCATGTTTTGAACTGGGCACATGACTACACAGCTAATGACTACATTTTCCAGCCCCCTTGCAGCTAAACTGATCAAATGACTAACCTGGTCAGTGGCATGTGCATTCCCAAGGATTCTGATGCCCTTTCCCCTCCCCTTGAAAGAACTGGAACATCTGTCTTAGACCCAGATATTAAACTACCAGCATCATGGGGCGCCTGGGTGGCTCAGTCTTTAAGCATCTGCCTTCGGCTAGGGTCATGGTCCCAGGGTCCTGGGATTGAGCCCCGCATCGGGCTCCCTGCTCTGCGGGGGGCCTCCTTCTCCCTCTCCCACTCCCCCTGCTTGTGTTCCCTCTCTTGCTGTGTCTCTGTCAAATAAATAAATCTAAAAAATAAAAAATAATAAAAAATAAATAAACTACCAGCATCAGACACACATTTCTGTTAGGTGAGACCAAAATAAAAAACAAAAAACAAAGAAACAAAAAATCCTTCTATCTTTTCTAAGCCACTGTATTTTGGGTCTCTCGGATATAGCCTACTAGCCAATGCGCTATTATAAATCTCCGGCCAACTCCTGACAAACTCTTCTGGGTTAACAATCAACTGACCATGAAGTGCTGTTCTCATGTAATCAGACAATTACATCTAACCTATTCCCACCTCTGTAAGAAGATAAATAATAGTCCAGACCTTGCTCTTCAGAATAATCCCTGTTTTTCTAGGAAGCTTTACACGTGTTTCATTTGTTTATTCCCATGAGGTTTATTACACATTAGGCAGGTGTCACAAAATAACTTCTCACTTTCCAGGAGTCCCAAAGATATGGTGATGTTCACATTACTACTCATACATTTTCCATCAAACAGATTGGGTCTATTGCCAGACATTCTAGGTTTAATAACCCAAATCAAACTACCATAGAGTATCTGTGATGAAACAGGTCTTGATTAAAAAAAAAAAAAGAGCTAAAGATGACAACCTATGACCATCAGCTAATAAAGTGATGTGGATGAGTGAAAAATCAGTGATGGACTATCCCAAGTCAATTAATGAATGTCTCTCTATAGCACTGAAGACCAACCTCTAAGATGGCTACCCTACATCTTGATTGTTCTTACCCCAACCTCAGTCTATTACGCTTTTGAGGATGATCACTTTATTCAGTGATATGTAAACTTGGTGAACTACCAACAATTTCAGTAAAGTGACAGTAATGAATTATATTGACCTGGCCACTGTCTAGTAGTGATAGTGGTCAGTATGTAAGTCAAGAGCTTATATATGGGAAAACTAGATGGTCTGTAAGGTGTGCGGAGTCCAAACGATGTCCTCAGCTTTAATAAAGTAGCATCTTTAATCAATAAACATTTTGGGGAAACTAACACCAATTGGTTCATTACAATATGCAAATTTCTTGAGTATTTCATGAAATCAAGTCTAAACAAAGAAAGAGAGCAATCAAGGGACTTAATAAATGCAACATTTTATTCCAAAACAAGATATGTGGCAGTTTTTCCTCCCTTCCCAGCTCCATAGCCCCATTCTCCCAAGAAAAGATGAAGACATCAAAACAGCTCAATAATCACAAACTTGAAGGGCTAATAAGCTTTTTGAGATTTAATATGAAATTAAGACAAATACAACAAGACCAAAGAGTTTGACCATGACTTGGGGTTTGACTTTATATTATTAAAATCTGACATAGATCGAGCCCTGCATCAGGCTCCTTGCTTAGTGGGAAGCCTGCTTCTCCCTCTCCCACTCCCCCTGCTTGTGTTCCCTCTCTCACTGTATCTCTATCAAATAAATAAATAAAATCTTTAAAAAAGAATAAAATAAAATCTGACACACATTATATATATAGGCACTGTATATATGTTCTGGGATAAGATGAAAAGCAAAATGGTATCTATTACGGCAAAATATCTTAGATCCATGCCAGTTTCAAGGTTTATGGATATTTTAGGGCCAGAACAATGACAGCAAAATCCAAAGCCAATTATAGAAGCCTGTAAAGATAAAATTTAACTTACCTTCAGCATCCTTAACTGTATTGAGTTTAAGTGCCTTTGTTCCATCAAAGCAAAATGCCTTGATGGAATTCAGTCCTAACAATAAAGCATTCTGTTTTATTTTTTCTACTTTGTTGGATATTTTATCCAGTGCTATTACTTCTCCCTAAAGAACAAACGAAAACACATAAAAATAAAGTGTAAACCCAAGGCAGTCATAAAAACTATTAATAAGGAGGAAAAGTGATGAAAAATTATGGTCTTCCCTACTATCCTCCCACCCCTAGTTTTAAAGCTGAATTCTTTAAGCAAATGTATATCAAATTTACATTAAAATACTGTCTTACCTTTTAAAAAAAAACCCCATTCTTAAAGACAAACCAAGAAACAGACTCTTAACTATAGAGAACAAACTGCTGGTTACCAGAGGGCAGGTGGGTGGTGGGGGTGTGTGGGTGAAATAGGTGATGGGGGTTAAGGAGGGCACTTGTGATGGGCACCCGGTGATGTATGGAAGTGCTGAATCACTAAACTGTAGTGATATTACACTGGATGTTAACTGGAATTTAAATACTTAAAAATAAATACAAAATAGGAAAGCACATTCTTGCCAGGTTAATTTTCTTATAGTTCACAGATATTTTTAATTAACAAAACTCAAAACCATTAATAGTGTTTGCCATCTAAGAACTTAACTTGAAAATATCTATTGGAGGTAAATATTTAAAAAATCACCAATGTGGGGCGCCTGGGTGGCTCAGTTGGTTAAGCGACTGCCTTCGGCTCAGGTCATGATCCTGGAGTCCCTGGATCGAGTCCCGCATCGGGCTCCCTGCTCAGCAGGGAGTCTGCTTCTCCCTCTGACCCTCCCCCCATCTCATGTGCTTTCTCTCTCATTCTCTCTGTCTCTCAAATAAATAATAAAATCTTTAAAAAAAAAAAAAAAAAAATCACCAATGTGATGCGCTTTGTTCACATCTGGAAAAATATGTTCTCAGATATGTTTTTCTAGTGCTTTGGAATACAGATGAATGTTACTTGTAAAATCAATCCTCATCTCAATATTTTCTGAGTTGTACATGTAAAGAAAATTCATGTCAGTTCTGACAACTATAACATAAAAATATTGACCTGTATATCACAGCAAAATGCTCTGGATGGTATAAAAAGTAGTTCAAAAATAATTTCTACGGCAACTCTTTGGTTAAGTTAAAGTCAACGAAGATGAGGCCACTCTTTTACAAATGTGTTGTGACATTCATATAATTTTTTCAATATACTATGAAATGATATTGCAGAGATGGCGAGATTAACTCTTCAGTGTCTTTTCTTGCTTTTGTTTCTTTTATACACACCATCCTTGTATGACAAATGCATCAATTACAATGCTGCTACACTTTCTGTGGTCATTTCACACAGCACTATGAAACCAAACACAACATGGACACATCTAAAATATAGACTTTTTGGAAAGACTTTTTACTAGAGAGAATAAAATATCCGTGGATAAATACTTCTAAGCAAACACAATAAATATCATATACCATAAATTAAGGGCAGATTGTTATCACCTCTTCAAAGCATATCATCATCTTTACAATTAAGGATTTCAGGTAAACTGAAAACTGATTCAGGTAAACTGAAAACCGCAACTCCATAAAATGAATCCTTCTATTTCATGTTCTGTGTTTTATGCACTGGTGGTATTTAATGCATTTTTCCTTAAGGTTTTTACTGTTACCACCTTAAATTCCTTTGGGACAAAGAAGAGTATTAATAAACAGTAAAGTACATCTCTAATGAACCAAGAGTATTAATACCCCAAAACTTTAAACAACAAATATCTTTTCCTTCCTTCATTACTTCCTTCGTTACTTTAAGGCCACTCACTGAGGTTATACGTGTGTGTGTGTGTTTGTGTGTGTGTGTGTGTGTGTGTGTGTGTGTAGGGCACATATATAGAGTGCATATATACACACACAGAACATATATACAGTGCCTATATATAGTGTATGTAGATTTACATATAGTGCAGAGATAGGTTTTAACCCTTCCATATATTTATTGAAAATATAAATTTATTTATTTACATATATATGTATGTATGTGTGCATTATCTCCCTGCTTGTGACACAGTGAATGTTTCAGAAATTGTAATAGTATCAAATACTAATATGCAAGTAATGTGAATTTTTAAAATTTTTTTTATTTATTTATTTTTGAGGGAGAGAGAATGACAGAGAGAATGAGAGGGGTGAGGGTCAGAGGGAGAAGCAGACTCCCTGCCGAGCAGGGAGCCCGATGTGGGACTCGATCCCGGGACTCCAGGATCATGACCTGAGCCGAAGGCAGTCACTTACCCAACTGAGCCACCCAGGCGCCCCAGTAATGTGAATTTTTATCAGAAGTCTCTGGATAAAATGATTTGCACTAATGAAAGGAAAAAGTTACAATTTCATCTTGACACAGTAAATGTTCCTATTATTTTCTGTGCAAGACTGCTTGTAAATCACTTGACTTAATCACTTAAATATAGATCAAAAATGATCATCTGGTAAAGTCCAACATCTGGCACTTTGGGGAGTGGGCACACAGATATTACATCTTCTATCAAGTGAATCAGAGCAGAAGGGCTCTGCTAAGCCTTGTAGAAGTATATTTCTATACCAGAAAGTCTTATACTTCAGGTAGGCAATTTTTCCTTATTTATAAATGAGTACGATGAAAAAAAAACTGCCAAAGAGTTTCCTAGGTGCCTAAGATTTCCTACCACTGTATAAATCTGAGCTAACTTAGAAAAATATGAATGGATCTACTGCTCTCAGTCTTTGACTGTCCTTGCTATGCTCTTTACCCAGTTTAGATTCCAAGCTGTATCACATTACTCTCTTATATACATGCTTCTCTGTCTTACATATAAGCATGACAAAAATGCTGCTGTGGTTAAATCCAATTCTTCACCAACGTCACATCTACATCCAGGCAGCTAAAAAAAGCCCATCACTATCCCAACAAATCTTACATTCATGACCATAGTATTCACGGAGCCCATAGCGCAAACTAGAATTGCTAGGATGTGTCCACAGCCCATTCTCACTTCCATTTTCCTAGATTAACATTTCATACCTCCTAGCTCTTACTACCTCCTTCCCCATCCCCATTCTCATCTGATGACCTTGCTTCATATTTCACTGAGAAAACTCAAACAACCAAAAGAGACCTTCCTGTCTCTTACCACTGACCGGCCCACCAATATCTGCACCTGTGTACTCCGCCTCCCCTCCGATTTCCATGGATAAACTGTTGCATGCTACCATCTAAAGCCACTTGTGCATCAAAATGTATCCCATCTCACCTCCTCCGATACTGCTAGCAATTTCCCCTTTTAATGGATCTCTCATTAGCATACAACCATGATCATTTCTCTCATCGTAAAATAAAGTACTCCCTGAGTTCACCTCCAACTACTGCCCCATTTCACTGTATTCCTGTACAAATAACTCCCCCCCCACCACCAAAGGAGTGCTCTTGATTCACTTTCTTGGATTCCCCTCATTCTCAATCCAAGCAAGCATTTCCACTCACCAAAACTGCTCATGATAAGGTTGCCCATCACTGACCTGGTGCTAGGTCCACTGGAAGTTCTCAGTCCTCACTTTATGTGGCCCAGCAGCAACATCTGACACAGCTATCTCTCCACTGTCTTTCAATCCCTTTCTTCACAGTTTCCAGGGTGTCCTACTACTCCTCTGGTTTTCCTCTGACATCACTGGCCATTCCTTCTTTCCCCAACCTCTGAATGTTGGCACACAGTATCCGTGCGGCTCAGTCTTCTGGCCTCTTCTACTCTCTATTGCCACCCACATCAGTGTTATGGCTTTATGTATTATCTATATGCTGATGACTTGCAAATTTCTATTTTATATGTATTTACATTTCTAATCTATATTTTTATTTCCAGTCTATACCTCTGTCCTGAACTCCAGGCTCAAATATCCAATTGCCTGCTCAACATCATCCCTTACAAGTCTAATAGACACTTCAGTTTAACATCACCAAAACTAACTTTCTGACTTTTCCCTGCAGAACTTGCTCCTCCCATAGTCACCCTCACCCAAAATCTGTAGGAGTCACCCTTGATTACCCTCAAATTTCCATAACCCACATCCAGTGCATCGGCAACTCCTTACAACTCCACCTTAAACACATCTCCAGAACTTCTTGCCACCTCTACGATGCTTCCCTGAATTACTGTCTCCAAACCAGTCACCCTTGCCCTCTTCCAGCCTGTTTTCAAGGCAAGAGCCAAAAGGATACTTGAAATAGTAAAGAGGCTTATGTCACTCTTCTGTGACTTCCCATCACTCGAGCAAAACTAATGTCCTATCAGACCCTGCCAACAGCTCAACCTCAACATCCACCCTGGGACCTCCCTCTCTCTGGTCTCTTTTCCTCACTTCGTCTCTCTCAGCAAACCGCAGAGGTTCCTCAAACAGACCAGGTGCCCTCCAGCCTCAGACCACCCACACTTGCTTTTTCTCTAGCTAAAATATGCATTCCACAGACCTCCATATTGCTCATCACCTCCAAGTCTTTCCTCAAAAACCACCTTCACAGGGTGCATTTCTCACTACCCTCCTAAAAACTGCATACTCACTCCCCTCAATACTCCCAATGCCTCTCCCCTTCCTCTCTTGCTCACCACCGCCCTTACCACAAGCCTACATGCCAGAACTTGTATTCATTTAATTTATTATCTGTCTCCTCTTAACTAGAAGGGAAGCTACACAATAAAGACAATTTTGGTCCCAGTGGTTTGTTGCTGCCTCCCCAGTACTTGGCATTTGTAAGTACTAACTGTCTGTTTACTCAACCAACCAATCAATTAAAATCTGCCTCCAGATCAAAGTAGGTGAAGATACTAGTGTGTCTAAGCATTTCAAGAACCATGTAATTTTATGGAATTTGAAACAAGAAGATAGCATCAACTGGCCCTATCCTTCTTGAGATGAAGAATCTTAGGTCCAGCACAGAACGGTTACAACGTCACACTGAGTTCTGAACACAGACTAACCCATAATGAAAGAAAACATATTGTCAAATACATATATGTGGGGGAAAAGCAGTAAAACCCGAAATAAACTTATTTAAGACTTACTATATTTTATGACAACGCAACAGGCTTTATAATTAAGCCAGATCTTAAAGTTTTTATGGATCTCAAGAAAATGTGTTTGATGTGTACATATCATAATGTACATATATATATATATCAGTGTATATATTGACACTTCAGTAATGTGCTGTCAAATCAAGTTTTAGCAGAATTTAGTAGTTTAGAAAGTGTCAAGTCTTATAATTAAGAACATAAAAAAATCTCTTAAATGTTGCAGTTAAACATAATTTTATGAAGAAGACTTCTACTCTACAAACGTATTAGTAAATCTGGGATTCAAGAAGATCTTCAGATAGTCTTCACAAATGATAACCTGTACTCAACACGTGATGAATGCCATCACTGAACAGTCTTTACTTTGGCTGAATCTGAAATCATTTAGATTATGAATGTCTACATAATGTTTTGTAAGTTATGTGTAGTTCCACCTTCAACACTGAAACATGTAATATGTTGTGAATAGTTTTTGCTGTGAAGACAGTCTCACCTGATCATGCATTAATGCTGCAATGTGTGTTGTTTTGCCTCCAGGTGCTGCACACATATCTAGAATCTTCTCTCCGGGTTGAGGATCCAGAACATGAGTTACTACAACAGATGGCAAATTCTATAAAGAAAAAAAAATCAATTATCAGTGATTCTAAATCCTCTTAAAGTTCAGAATCAGAGAACATAAAGAAATCTTTGGAGGTAATCCAGTACAGCATCCTCTGCCAAGAACAGGTTTTCTGTAAACATAGTGTCAGGAAATTCACAGTTTCCTAGAGTATCCTATGATCTCATTGGACATTCACACATGAGACACACACATGCACATGCATGATGCATTTCCCCTATCAATTTAACTAAAAAAGCACATTTTTTCCCCTCAATTCAGTGGTTCTCAATATTTTGAAGGCCAGAGCCCTTTCAGAAATATAACAAACCTCTGGATCTTTTTCTAAGAAAATGTACAAAATTTTGGAATTTTGGGTGCTTCACCATCTAATGCCCACTTAAGAATTCTAGTTTTATGCTGCTAATGCCACTCAAAGACGTCTGGGTTCCTATCTCCCTGCCACTACCACATTTCTATAGGAGAAAAGTAAAATGTAAACCAATCTTACCAATTCTGATTGGCACCTAGAAATATGAGATTGGACAACTCATGTATCTACAGCAATAAGCTATATGGCAACAAGTTATATTATACCATTAATTCATTATTAGTTTGGATCATACAAGGACTGCTACTCTAGGATAAGTTTGCCTTAAATAAAATAGAATAATATCCCAAAGTAATGCATTATTTTATTTATTTTTTTAAGATTCCATTTATTTATTTGACAGAGAGAGACACAGCAAGAGAGGGAACACAAGCAGGGAGAGTGGGAGAGGGAGAAACAGGCTTCCCGCGGAGCAGGAAGCCCGATGCGGGACTCTATCCCAGGACCTTGGGATCACGACCTGAGCCAAAGGCAGACGCCCAACGACTGAGCCACCCAGGCACCCCAGTAATGCATTTTTTTAAAAGATTTTATTTGAGAGAGAGAGAAAGAGTGCACACAAGGAGCGGGGAGAAGGAAAGGTAGAAGCAGATTCCCCACTGAGCAGGGAGCCTAATGCAGAACCCTGGGATCGTGACCTGAGCCATAGGCAGATGCTTAACTGACTGAGCTGCCCAGGTGCCTCAGTAATGCATTTTTTTTATTTATTTTTTAAAGATTTTATTTATTTATTTGAGAAAGAAATAGCAAGAGAGAGCACAGCAGGAAGGAGAGGGAGAAGCAGGCTCTCCGCCGAGCAGAGGGCATGACGTGGGGTTCGATTCCAGAATCCTGGGACCACGACCAGAGCCGAAGGCAGACGCTTAACCGACCGAGACACCCAGGTGCCCCAATGCATTTTTTTCAAGTAATGTATTTTCTAAATTACTTTTCAAGAAAAAACAGTAGAGGCTAATAAGCAATTAACACACTTTTGGGCAACACAGGGTTTTTTAAAAAGTTTAAAATCAGTTGAGGGGGCGCCTGGGTGGCTCAGTCGTTAAGCATCTGCCTTCGGCTCAGGTCATGATCCCAGGGTCCTGGGATTGAGCCGCGCGTCGGGCTCGCTGCTCCGCGGGAAGCCTGCTTCTCCCTCTCCCACTCCCCCTGCTTGTGTTCCCTCTCTCACTGTCTCTCTCTGTCAAATAAATAAATAAAATCTTTAAAAAATAAAAAAAAATTAAAAATAAATAAAATAAAATCAGTTGAGAAAAAGAAGAGAGTATGTACAAAGTTTTTTTGTTTTTTGGGTTTTTTTTGTTTTGTTTTGTTTTTTTTACTGCTTAACCAAACGTAGATTAGAAAAAATAAACCACAAAATATATGGTAACAGAAAAAAACCTTAGATTTGAAATAACTTTCCAAAGTTATGTTTCAATGTCTTTAAATATTTTACTCTGACAAATACTTACCTGTAAAAATAAGTAGCTGGGCAGCACATTGTCAAATGAGGGGCTGAGATATATCGGTTCTGTCATTCTTATGCCTATACCTCTGAAAAGCAGAAAAATCTAACATTAGTCTGTATAAATTCCACAGTCCATACAAACTCAATTTCCAGGTACATACCCACATAGCACAACAAATATAAGATGTTCTGCCTTTTTAAAACTTTTTTTACTCAATACCACAATACTTAGGATATTCCTGTGAATTATCTAGGACTTATTCCTTGCAGTAGAAGGCCATCAGGAACACTAAAAAGGATAGTTACATAAATTTTTCATTTAGGCACAAAGGAGTTTCTTCAGAGATTTGAACAAACTAAAAAGGCAAAGAACACGAGTCTTTTTTTTTAACATAGCTACTTAATTAAAAATGCTATTTATGTTAACATAATGCATTTGTTCTTATTTTATTTTTAATGGCAGTTCTTATTTATTTTTAATGCCAGTATATTAGTTTCAGGTGTACGATATCCTGATTCAACATTTCTATATGTTACTCAGTGCTCATCAGGTAAGTGTACTTTTTGTTTAACGATTTATTTTAGAGAGAGAGCGAGCATGCACGAGAGAGGGTGGGGCAGAGGGAAAGGGAGAGAGTTGCAAGCAGACTCAGCACTGAGTGCGGAGCCTGACATGGGGCTCGATCTCATGACCCTGAGATCACGACCTGAGCTGAAACCAAGAGTCAGATACTTAACAGACCGCACCACACAGGTGCCCCAGGATAAGTGTGCTCTTAATCCCCGTCACCTATTTCACCCATCCCCCACCCACCTCCCCTCTGGGAACCATCTGTTTGCTCTCTATAGTTGAGTCTGTTTTTTGGTTTGTCTTTTTTCCTTTGTCCATTTGTTTTGTTTCTTAAATTCCACATATGAGATCATACGGTGTTTGTCTTTCTCTAACATCTGAGTCTTTATTTGTTGATTCATTCTAAATCCTTCCGGTAACAGATTCATGATCACTGTTAACAGCTTTTAATTCAATAAACATTTTCTGAATGCTTCAGTGTGCAAGGCACTATGCTAGGTACTTGTATTAAAAATAAAAACATACTTAAGAATCATGCTGATGCCAAGCAACCACAAATATGCCACACAACTCTCTCATCTCTTTAGAGAATAACTGCCCACTACTGACATAATCCTCAAGATGAGCTTTTCTACCTTTATCCCATGTTATAAGCGGCAGTGGAACTGATCAGAGCAGGAATGTCCAGGACCCAGGAGAACATGGTGGACGATGATTCATTAGGACAAACATCGCCATCTGAGAGAGGCTGTCAGTGACCATCAGAGGCAAGAGAAAGCATACAAATACTGTTGGAGAAAGCCAAACATTACCTGGTGTATCAGGCCACACCACAGAGAGCAAGAAAAAAGGGAAATCAACACCATGTTCGAGGGATTAGAGGGGCACAGAAAAAGTGCACTCTAATAATAAAGGAAAGATTAAGAATCTGGATTTAAACCAGGTACAGGAGTACAAGCAAGGAATAGAGTCTAAGCAGGGAAAACAAGAACACACTCCTCAGGTCCAGTACACGAGATGAGTTCAGAGCTTCTGAACCTATGTTGGCAGGGAAGCATCTATGTGGATGGTGTGCACTCAGCTTGAGGTAGGTAGGTGGGCTCATTTTACTCACAACACTCCTGACACCAAATGTGTGGTGTTTTTTCTCGCACCAGTCCTGGCACGACCTGCCGGGGGTTACTGTGAGGTGCCACGGGCTCAACGGTTGGATCCAACAAGACTGGTGTCGCTCCTGGGGCGCCTGGGTGGCTCAGTCGTTAAGCATCTGCCTTCAGCTCAGGTCATGATCCCAGGGTCCTGGGATGGAGCCCCGCATCGGGCTCCCTGCTCAGCGGGGAGTCTGCTTCTCCCTCTCCCACTCCCCCTGCTTGTGTTCCCTCTCTTGCTGTGTCTGTCAAATAAATAAAATCTTAAAAAAAAAAAAAAAAAAGACCGGTGTCGCTCCAGACACCAGCTGCACATCCGGGTTGCCATCTGTACTTCTCACCAACAGGCTGTGAATTTGGGGGTTTCCACACAGCACTCTTCAGGTTTGAAAATTCCCTAGAACAACTCACACAACTCAGAACACTAGCACCGGTTTACTATGGAGGATACAACTTACAAATGGCTGAAGGAGAGAGATACACCGGAGAAGTTAAGGGAGAGGTGTATGGTTCACCACCTTCCCCACACCTAGATGTATTCACCAACCTGAACCCCATCATTTAGGAGTCTTTATGATTGACTGATTAAATCACTGACCACTGGATATGAATTGAATTTCCAGGCCCTCTCCCCTCCCTGGAGGTCCGGGGGTAGAGCCACAAGTTCCAACCTTCTAACTACAAAGGTTGGTTCCTCTGGCAAGTGCCTTCCAGAAGCTATCTAGGGACCCCGAGCTACCAGTCATCTCATTAGCATACAAAAGACACTCATCTCTGCAGAGAATCCAAGGATTTGGGGAGCTGTGTGCCAAGAACCCAAAGACCAAATCATTATTATGCCACAACAGGGTAAGTTTACGCTGCTTTTTAGAGTGAAATAATTTCTGTAGGTATTCATGGACTACAACTACAGTGGTAATGACTGTGATGTCCAATGGGTTCTAACAGCCTTTGTCATACAATAAACGTTAACTCCTTTCTCCCTCTTCCCATGCCTTTTATCCTCACTCGCTCGTTTACCACTTGATATGTCTGAATCTGTACTTTTAATCAGAGTTAAATCAGAGTTAGTTAATCAGTTGGTCTTTGGTCCTCGCTCCAGCCAGAATCAAATCTAACCATTTCCTACACAGTTCCTGCCCCTGACCAGAAAAAATACAAAGGAACCTTCTGAAAAGTCAAAGCCGCACATTCAAAAGTCAGTCATTTGTTGAGACAACTGGCGCACTGACCTTGATCAACACCTCAGCCCCTGCCCAGTCTAGACCCATTATTGGACACCTTGAATTCCATGACCTGCTCACTCTTTCATAATTTATGACTTTCTGACTTGCACGACATTAGTCCTCTGAAAAATACTCAAACGTTAACATTTATATGTCTGCCTCTAATCCAGTTCCTACCTAGTGCTTCAAGTTCTGCTATTTGTCTCCTTCTGACCACTAGCGCAAGTAGTCCATCTTTGCAGTATTTAACTTAAAACAACTCAACAAAGAATAATTTAAATCAATTATTGTTCCAGTATGGGATTACGTTTCTTTTTCTTTCCCTTGACTACTTTTTTTTGGAAATTGGGCAAAATTTTTTTAATTTTTTAAAAAGATTATATTTTTATTTATTTGAGAGAGAGTATGAGCAGGGGGAGAGGTGGAGGGAGAGGGAGAAGCAGACTCCCCACTGAGCAGAGAGCCCGCTGCAGGGCTCGATCCTAGGATGAACTTCCCAGGATGCCCCTACATGTTTCTTTTAAAATTGTTTTTGTGGGGTGCCTGGGTGGCTTAGTTGGTCAAGCGTCTGCCTTTAGCTCAAGTCATGATACCAGGGTCCAGGATAGAGCCTCGCGTCAGGGTCCCTTCTCATCAGAGAGTCTGCTCCTCCCTCTCCCTCTGCCTTCTGTTCCCCAAGCTCGCTCTCTCTGTCAAGTATATAAGTAAAATCTTTAAAAAAGTAAAAAAAAAAACTGTTTTTGTAATATGTATTTCCATATAGTAACACAAAGAACCAGATCTCCTATGATAAACAGGTTGTTAGTAAACTAATCTACCTCTATGAAGTCTATGACTGAAGTCCACTGTAATTCAAGAAACCAAAGGGTGCAAATTTACTAGTTGAATAACAAAGTACCACTGGTAGACAAAGTTCTAAAATTTTATAATAAGAAACATGATATATGTATAGCATTTCTTTGTTATGGAAGCATGCTTTTCCTCACATAGGCAGAGAAAGAAATCCTAACAGCATAACTGAATGCTAAGTTTAAAAGTTGAATTTTAAAAAAAACAACAGTTTTTTGAAAGATGGCTGCCTGCTAGTCCTACCAACAAACATTACTCAGAAAAGTCTGTCAGCAAAGTTACTGGAACTACTACATTGAATAATATAACAGAATGAAGGGTGGAAGAGGGTTCAAGATGGCAGAATAATAAGATCCTGAGCTCACCTCCTCCCACAAACACAACAAACTGAACGGACCTAGAAACTGGATGAACAGAGCCCCCACAACAAGGGACAACATCAAGATGAGTGGAAGAGGCAAAGATACAGTCTTGCTAAGGAAAAAAACCACACCCCTGGAGCAACGTTCCATGGTCAGAACAGACCTCAAAGGAATGTTATCTCCCTGAGGAGAGTGTCAAACTCCACATCCAACAACCCAACCCTTAGATAATTCATGAAGAGATGAGCTTCCAAAACATCTGGCCTTAAAAACCAATAGGGAGTATGTCCAGGAAAACTACAGAACTGTAAAGAAAGGAAACCCCACTCATAAAGGGCTTGCACACAAACTCAACCCAGAAACCAGTACAAATGGTTCGAAATCAGATCAAAAACCGTATCAAAAAGATCAAACGCCAAATAAAAAAGCACAAAGACCATAGGTAAAATAGGCCTACTTACTAATCTTGGAGCACCTGCTGAAGGGGATTGGCGGGGGGGCTGGAATCTCCCTGAGAAGTAAAACACTGGTGACAGCCATTTTTGCTATCTTGTTCTGCCCTGCTGATGCTGGAGCTGATAGACACTGTTTTGAAATCCTCTCTCTAGAATGCAAATGCCAGGGTGCACACGCCACTGAGAGCCCCATGCAGCCCTGCCCCTCAGCAGAGCCTTGAAGTCTATAGGACTCCACCTACAGCACACCTGTAGCCTAAGGAATAGGCTAACCAGGCAGGGGAGGGAAGCCAGCCTCACCCGAGTGCACCTGCATCTGTCCAAGGGGCTGAGGCACAAAGCCCACTCAGGGAACATGCCTGAAGCACCTGTGTCTGGGTACCAGGGTAAGAGAATTGCACTACTGGGCCCTTTAGGACATCTCTTACATAAGGCCACTCCTTCAACACCAGATGTAGATGAACTACCTAATACACAGAAACAAACACAGAGTTAGGCATAATGAGGAGACAGAAGAATATGTTCCAAACAAAGTAACACAAAACATCAGAAAAAGAACTAAACAAAATGGAAATAAACAATTTATCGAATAAAAAGTCCAAAGTGATTGCCATAAAACTGCTCATCAAACTCAGGACAAAAATGGATAAACAGTGAGAACTTCAACAAAAAGAAAATATAAAAAAGTTCCAATCAGAGCTGAAGAATAACAGAAATAAAAATACGCTATAGGGAATAAACAGCAGATTAGTAATACAGAAGAACAGTGATCTGGAAAACAAGGAAGTAAAAATCACCCAAACTGAACAACAAAGAAAAAGGAATTTTAAAAATGAGGGTAGTTTAAGGGACTGTGAGCTAACAGGTGCACTAACATTCCCTTTATAGGAGTCCCCGAAGGAGGAGAGAGAGAGAGAGAGAAAGTGGCAGAAAATTTGAGAAATAACAGATGAAAACTTCCCTCATTTGGCAAAGGAAGCAGACATCCAGATCTAGGAAAAAGAGAATCCCCAAAACGATGAACCCAAAGGAATCCACACCAAGATACATCATAACTAAAATGTCAAAAATTAAAAAACAAAGACTGTTAAAAGCTGCAGAAAAAAAATTAGTTACATATAAGGGAATCCCCATAAGGCTATCAGCTGATTTCTCAGCATAAACTTTGCAGGCCAGAAGAGAATGAGTGACACAATATATCCAGAGTGCTTACAATCAAGAATAATCAGCAAGGTTATCATTCACAATTGAAGGGGAAGAGAAAGAGCTTCCCAGAGAAGCAAAAGTTAAAGGAGTTCATCACCCCTGAACTAGCTTTATAGTATTAAACAGACTTCTATTAGCAAAAAGGAAAAGGCCATAATTAGAAATAAAATATGTGAAAGAAAAAAATCTCACTAGTAAAGGCAAATATATAGTAAAGGTAGTGGATCAACCACTTATAAAGCTAGTCTGAAGGTTAAAAGATAAAAGTAGTGAAACCAACTATATCTATAATAATTAAAGAAAACATAAAATAAAAAGATGTAAAATATGATGGCATAAACATAAAATGCTGCAGGGAAGAGAGAAATGTTTTGGAATGTTTGGAATTTAAGCAACCACCAACTTGAAATAGACTGTTATATACATAGGTTATTACAGACAAATCTCACAGTTACCACAAACCAAAACCCTGTAATAGGTACACAAAAAATAAAGAGGAAGTAATTCAAGCCTAACACTGAAATAATCAAATCCCAAGAGAAGAACAACGAATTACAAAAACAATCAGAAAACAACAAAACAGCAATAAGTACACATGTATAGATAATTACTTTAAATGAAAGTGGATTAAACAATCCAAGCAAAACACATAAGCATGAATGAATGGATAAAAAACAAGACCCATCTAATAAGCTGACTACAAGAGACTCACTTCAGACCCAAAGACAAATACAGACTGAAAGTACAGGGCTACAAAAAAATATTCCACGCAAATGAAAACAAAAAGAAAGCAGGGGTAGCAATACCTGTAGGACACAAAACAGACTTTAAAACAAAGGCTGTAATAAGAGACGAAGAAGGATATTAAATAATCATAAAGAGAATCATTATAATAGTAATAATAGCAAGGGACTTTAACACCATATTTACATCAGTGGATAGATCATCCAGACAGAAAATAATGTAATAACAGCAAACACCACATCAAACCACATGGACTTGATACATACAGAATATTCCATCCCCAAACAGCAGTCTTCTCAAATGTACCTTTAACATTTTCCTGGATAGATCATGTTAGGCCACAAAAGAAATCTCAATAAATTAACAAGACTGAAATCATATCAAGCTTTTCTTCCTATCACAACAGTATGAAACTAGAAATCAACCATAAGAAAGTAGAAAGCCATCACATGAAGAAAACTGTCCACTTATGATAAATGAATGGATTAAGGAGGGAGAGAGGGGGAGAGAAGGGGGGGGAAGGGAGGGAGGGAGGGAGGGAGCGAGAGAGAGAAATATTACTCAGTCATAAAAAAGAATGAAATCTTGCCATTCATGACAACAAAGACGGCCCCAGAGGGTATTATGCTAAGTGAAATAAGTCAGACAAAACAAATACCGTATGATTTAACTTGTATGTGGAATCTAAAAAACAAATGAACAAAACAAAACAGAAACAGAAACAGAAATTTGATGGATGCCACAGAGAAGGGGATAAGGGTAATGAATAAAGTGAAAAAGGTTAACTTTCCAGTTATAAAAGAGTTATGGGGATTAAGTTATGGAGATTAAATAAATTATAAAGAAGATGAAATAAATTATCAATAAAACATGGGATGTTAAGGTACAACATGAGGAATATAGTTAATAGTATTTAACAACTTTGTATAACCACAGATGGTAATGCCTTATTGTGGCGACCATTTTCTAATGCATATGAATATTGAATCACTGTGCTGTACACCTGAAACACAATATATCAATTATAATTAAGTAAAAAAAAAAAAAAATAAGCCAGTCACAGAAAGAGGATGAAGAGTATACCACTAAAAATAGAACCAAAGGAGGAAGTCAAAACGTTAATTTCCTATTACAGACCCAAAGATACACACACACACACACACACACACACACACACACGCTTTATCTTTATATTCATAAAGTCTTCTAAGGAGAATAAAATCTTTGCTCTTGGCCATTTGGAAAGCACTGCTATCTAGAGTTGGTTAATCCAATAATCTGTTTCTTCAGAAGAATTAACTTCAACTATAAACCCAGATTGTTGCAACATGAAAACTGTTCCAGGAATCAGGGATGTAGTCCAGTTCTGCACGGATAAATTCAGTTTTCGGCATGTCTACATCAGCTGTCAACTGTGGAGTAATGGAGTTGTCCACAGAACTCCTTAAATAGGCTGAAAATATGAAGCAAAATGATTCTGGACTGCCCACAGATTTAATTTATTTAGAGTCAGTAGCAACACAAGATGATTAAAAACTTTTTTAATTTGGTTTGAGTAAATCCAAATGTTCTTTTTTTTTTTTTTTTTTTAAGATGTGAGAGCACTTGCGAGCATGAACCAGGGAAGGGGCAGAGAGAGAGGATCTCCAGCAGACTCCACACTGAGCACAGAGCCTGACACGGGGACCGATCCCATGACCCTGAGATCATGACCTGAGCTGAAATCAAGAGTTGGACGCTCAACAGACTGAGCTACCCAGGGGCCCCAGATCCAAATATTAAATCTTGACCACAAGTAGCCATGTGATTGCTGGCTTTCTGGTAAAAAAATTTCTTAATAAAACTTTTAATTTATATTAAAATCATAAGCTTTTTGTTTCACAAAAATCAGACTGTTTAAATAGTTCTGGATTAAGTCACATAATTCATCCTTTATCAAGATGCAAATCCCCAAAAGGTGCAAAAATTTTCAAATCAATAAATCAATAAAATTCAAAAGGAAAACTGAAACTAACAATTACAGCATGACTGCTTGCTTATGTAGGTGGGCCCTTTAATCAAAGCATTTACTCTTCTACCCAAAAGCAATTTTTCAAAAAAGCATGGAAATATGCATTGAACAATTATTTTCCAGTCAAATTTATACCCCAAGAAAATATTTTTATAATGCAACTAGATATATTTTTTACATTGTTTTTATTTTCCTTGAACCACCAAAAAGAATGCATATTTCCTCCAAACACTTGATGACATACTTCAGTTCAGGTAGCCCACTGAAGATTTCTTTGCGGCTTAGTTCAGAAATCCCATTTCCAAGAAATACTTTTGTTCCATCAAATTCTTTGGCTCCTTTCTTACATTTGCCTTTAATATCAGAGTATACAGAAATAACATCTCCAGCTTTCATAACTAAGAAAGAAGAAAATCAGATTATACTTATTAGACTATATTTTGGTATAAGAATAGTGAAAATTCCTTAAGCTAGACTAGGGACATCTAAGGGCATCAATTGTGGGCATGAAGAGGTCTAAACTGGCTCATTATCTCAAAATAACCCCTTAGAGAAAATATGACTTTTTACTTTTAAATGTTCCATCACAATATATCTAACTGAAGACTTTTTTTCTAGAACAAAAAAATACAAATCTTCAAAACATCCTATCTAAACTGGAACTCTTTAGCTAAGCAGAAAATGAAGGATAACTCCTATTTATTTCTTCCAAACCTAACATTCCCTAAACAACTTCATATAAATTTTGGTATCTTTGGCTCAATCCTCAAAGTTCTAAGTTTCCCTTAAAAAGATTCATCAAAAATGTACACTAAAATCCCTCAAAGAAATGTTTCTAAATTGCCTAACACTTATTATTTCTTTGCAGGTTTCCTATTATAGCAATTAAGACAGAGATTTTATGTGTATATACATGAACGTGTGTATACATATGCACATGTACCTATGTATATATATGCATATATATACACAGTGTATGGAGTTGATTCTTACAGCTGATTAAGTCTAGGTTTTTGTAGCCATTTCATTAAATTATTTCCAGTAACCAATCCCAGTGACTTTAATAATAGGAAACTCTACTCCACTTTCATGTTCTTAGACCTAGCCTGTCATAAATTTGTCTAGCCCATTAACTTGATAACAGTAGGGAGCAGTCTATCAACTAGAGCTAGAAGGACTGTTCAAATCGCATAGATCAGAGGTCAAAGAACTTTTCCTATAAAGGGCATGTGAATTCCTTAGGCTTTATGAGCCATATAAGGTCTGTTGGCATATTCTTCTTTGTATTTTTTTTAAACAAGCTTTTAAAAATGGAAAAAACATTTTCAGCTGTGAGCCACACAAAAACAGACATAGGCCAGATTTGGCCAGCAGGCAGTTAGCACACCTGAATGCACATCAAATTATTTCACAGATAACGTAACTGAAGCCCACAGCTGAATAACTTCCCAATAGAGCAAAACCCATGTGTCTTGATTTCAAGCCCAATAAATTAAGACTGAACCACAGTGACTAACTTATTAAGCATATGTCATCAACTGAGTGAGTAAATGAAGAATACTGGCTTTTATTTCAATATTAAGATCCCAAGTTCTGAAGGTTACCCTCACAAATGACAACAGAAATCTGAGGGCAATGGAGTTAAGAAAACAAAATAAAATTTCACTGACATCTTACACTGTATTAATCAGTAATGATCCTCTAAACATCATCTCACATAATCTTTTTTTTTTTAAGATTTTATTTATTTATTTGAGAGAGAGAATGAGAGATAGAGAGCACAAGAGGGAAGAGGGTCAGAGGGAGAAGCAGACTCCCTGCTGAGCAGGGAGCCCGATGTGGGACTCGATCCCTGGACTCAAGGATCATGACCTCGCTTAACCAACTGAGCCACCCAGGCGCCCAACTCTCACATACTCTTTTATGGAAAGAAAAAAACTGGCATAAAAAAAACCATATATGGATGCCCAATTTGTGAGACCATATCAGATAAATCTTTCTGGCTATCCCAAATGTAAAACTTGAAAAATTATCTGATAAAAGTAAATCTGAAATACATCTGAATGATAGTTTAATACATTTTCCACTTGATAATGTACAGATTTTAAAGAATCTTTTCTTGTACAGAGAGGCTAAAACATTATACTTACATTTTGAAGCTGACACAATTCCTGGAACATAGACATGGGCTCCTCTTAACACCGCATTGCCACATTGTGCTCCAACAATTACTTCACAATGTTGTTTTTTTATATTCTTCCTAGGGATAGAAGATGAGCAATTTTAACAGAGTAATACACCTCCAACCCCTACCAAACTTTTTAATGTTTCAATCCAAACCCTAAATAACCTCTTTTCTCCTGACTGTCCCAAGATAATGCCAATGAATGAATAAATAAGAAAAAGCAAGCAGAAAAAAAGGATAAATATAGAGGAAGTAGTTCAGAGAGGGGGATGGGGCGCACTTGAGGAAAAAAAAATAGAAAGAGGTCTATCTGGTAGAAGGCAATAAAGTAGTACCAAAAACTGCTTAATCATTTAAAGAGCACTGCTGTTTCCGTAACAGCATTAGAAGGAAGAAAAATAAAGTCCTTACCTTCAAAGACCAAAACAGACAATATACAAGGAATTCAAAAGCATCTCTACAATGGTATATTGCTGTGTGGTCAACTATTCATATTTTTTTAAATTTTTTAATTACTTTATTATTATGTTCAACACCCAGTGCTCATCACCACACGTGCCCTCCTTAATACCCATCACCCGGTTACCCAATGGCCCCACCCCACTCCCTTCTATAACCCTCAGTTTGGTTCCCGGAGAGTCCAGAGTCTCTCAACTATTCATATTTTAACCAGACGAAGATGTCTTTTACTCTTCCTTTACTGTCCAACTTTTTTGAGTGTCTTCCAATTTCTCACCTTCCATTCATTCCTTAGACCACTAACAACTGAGTATCACTTCTAATACACAGAAAGACTTTTTCAAAAGTCAGGGGGTGCCTATGTGATCAGCCCTAAATAAAGACCTTAAGCACTGAGTCCCTCATGCATGTTCGTGGTTGGCAACATCTCACATGTGTTGTCACAACTCCTTGCTGCGGGAATAGAGCGTGTCATATCTTCCTTCGGTGATCTCCAGATAGTCCTATCTCACTGAGCTTCTCAGTTTTGTACCACTTGTTTGTCTCTCACGTTCTCACTGCTCATTCCCTATCTACTTCTTAAAGAGGTCCATTCCCCCATGTTCCAAAACATGCTGCATCTCTTCTCACCTTACATTCTACTCTTGGCGACCTCAGGCTTTCAATAATCACTTACAAAACGATCTGTATATTCTGTTTGACCACTTGGGTAGCATGAATCTGAATTCCAAACCTTTATGAGGTATGGAACCACAGTTCCACATTCACAGATTTGTTTTCTTCTACTCAGACTCTAAGACAAGAGAGATCCAAGGGCGCCCGGGTGGCTCAGTCGGTTAAGCGGCTGCCTTCAGCTCGGGTCATGATCTCAGGGATGGAGCCCTGCATCAGGCTCCCTGCTCAGCAGGGAATCTGCTTCTTCCTCCCCCTCTGTCCCCCCCAACTTGTGCATTCTCTAATAAATAAAATAGATAATAATAAAATAAAATTTGAAAAAAAAAAAGAGAACTCCCAACTCCTTAATTATTGCCTTGCACTGACTGTTGGACTAGTTCATACCCTGTTATTTCCTACATTAAAAGGAAAGCCCCTAAGGGGCGCCTGGATGGCTCAGTCGCTAAGCGTCTGCCTTTGGCTCAGGTCATGATCCTGGCCAGAGTCCTGGGATTGAGCCCTGCATCAGGCTCCCTGCTCAGCGGGAAGACTGCTTCTCCCTCTCCCACTCCCCCTGCTTGTGTTCCCTCTCTCGCTGTCAAAAAATAAATAAAACCTTAAATAATAATAATAAAAGGAAAACCCCTAAATTTAGAAGACCGACCACCTCCTCTCCCACATCTCCCAACCCCCAAATATTAGCTCTGTTTTCAGTTACTCTTCGGGCGCCTGGGTGGCTCAGATGGTTGGGCGTCTGCCTTCGGCTCAGGTCATGATCCCGGGGTCCTGGGATCGAGTCCCGCATCGGGCTCCCTGCTCCTTGGGAGCCTGCTTCTCCCTCTGCCTCTCTCTCTGTCTCTCGTGAACAAATAAATAAAAATTAAAAAAAAAAAAACAGTTTCCACACTCAGTTACTCTTCATTCTAACCCCTAAATATCTCACTTATATTCTCAATCACGCAGTTGTGCATTTTATGGCCTTATTTTTTATTTAGTATTTCTAGGTGTCTCTAGCAGAAACATTTTCAGGTTATCTAGAGTACCACACTGTTGGAAATAAAACACTCTGAAATGATTTCCTAATTTGTTTCCAGTCTTAGAATTTATCTTCTTTTAAAATTTTTTTCAAACTTTTTGTGGACTGTAACCCACAGAAATGCACTTAATATCACAACTCCGGACACGTGTGTATGTAGTATGTGTGTATACACACATGCATTTATACACACTTATATTTACATCAAATGTTTCATGAAACACCTTCAGTATGTGCAGTGCAAGATGATACATTATGAAATACCCATTTTTTAAAAAAATGCTAAAAAAAGACATTAAATTGATTTTACAACCTACTAATGGATCATGATCTCCACACAGTTGGAAAAATAGCTTTATGCTACTACCAGTATTCTTTGGCTATTCTTTGGTTCTAAGCAAACAACTAAACATTCCTTAGTTAAAAAAAGAAAAAAATCTTTTACACTTCACAGCTGGCCTCTCCCAACTTCTTCAATGTCATGTTTCACCACCCTCTCTGAAAAAGCAACTAAGTAGCCAAACCTGATCACTTCGTCATGAGCCACCTTACATTTTCATGCCTCCATACTTTTGCTTTCTCTCCACCTCATATACCCTTGACCATCTTACCCCATCAGCCTAATGCCTAATCACGTTCAAGGCTCAACTGAAATATTATCTACTTGAAGAAAATCTTAACCAACTTCCTTTCACTCAGTCCTTCCTATTCTATGCTCTGATTGTACTTCATTAATACCTTCACCGTAGCACTTTCACCAGTCTGACTCAGAAGGTTTCCCATTTTTAAATGGATCAACTGCATTTCATTCATCTTTGTAACACCCTTGGGTCTTACACAAAGCACCAATTCAAAAATGTCTTGGGAAATGGAACCTTGTAGTTTTAATCAGAATGTTTTTATGGGAATAACCATTTCATGGAGAGGACAGAAAGACTATGAAAAGAAGAGTTAACATAAGAGTCTTGAATTACTATCCTTTCTTTGGACAGCGTGGTTACAAGGTTGGTCCTTGGCTGCCATCTGGGAACTTAGATTTCAGAAGGATACCTGCTATTAACTGATAAGAATAGCTCACTAAGCTTAAATCATCTGTACAAATAGTACGGTTTATGGCCAACAATGACTTTCCTTCTGAGAGGCCAGAATGTGGGCATGTGCCGGGCAGGGAGTGCCTACCTGACCGTCCCAAATAAAAATCCTGGACACTGAGTCGCTAATGAATTTCCCTGGTTGGCAACATCTTACATGTTGTCAAACCTGTTCCTGAGGGAATCGTTTCCTGTGTGACTCCATTGGAAGAGAATTCTGTAAGCTTTCAACTGGTTTCCCCTGTACTTTTTCCCATGTGCCCCCTCCCTTTGCTGATTCTGCTTCAGATTACTTCACTGGAACAAGTCATAGTCACAAGTACTACCATATGCTGAATCCTATGAGTCATCCTAGAGTCATCAAGCCAGGGAGTGGTCTTGGGGATCCCTCAACACTAGGACTAATTGTATAAAAACATAAGATGCCATATATGCAAGTATCAAGGTGTAATTCAGCTTTGCTAAAGGGGAGAGTTTGAGGCAGTAAAGATAAAAGGAAATGTAAGAGTTGATGCAGGGCCATAATACATGCTAAAAGCTTAATTTTTTTTAAAGATTTTATTTATTTATTTGACAGAGAGAGACACAGCGAGAGAGGGAACACAAGCAGGGGGAGTGGGAGAGGGAGAAGCAGGCTCCCCCGCTGAGAAGCGAGCCCGATGTGGGGCTCGATCCCAGGACCCTGGGATCATGACCTGAGCCAAGGCAGACACTTAACGAGCCACCCAGGCGCCCTAAAAGCTTAGTTTTTTATTATAATATTTACAAATAAAGAAGTGAATCAACAACATTAAAGAAAGGATTTTCTGATAGTACAGTAATACAGATAGGAGGGAAAATAGTATGAAGGTACTCAGGTTAAGAAAAAACTAGTAAAATAGCTTTAAAAATGAGGTGTCTATCAATTAAAAAGAGTGGAATTATGAGAATGTCCCACTAAAATATATATAAAAATATGAATTTATTCATTTGGCGGTTTTTTTTTTTTTTAGGATTTTATTTATTTGAAACAGAGAGCGAGAGAGAGAGAGAGAGAGAGAGAGAGAGAGCGCACGCGGGGCAGAGGAAGAGGGAGAAGCAGACTCCCCGCTGAGGAAGAAGCCCAATGCGGGGCTCAATCCCAGGACCCCAGGATCATGACCCGGGCTGAAGGCACACGCTTAACCGACTGAGCAACCCAGGGACCCCTCCTTTGGCATTTAACTGCACATATTAGCAACTCCACACCAAATAGGACATAATGATTATAATTTTAAGATGTTATATATTATTGCATGCCAACGAATACTTCTTTTTCAGCAGGATCGCCATCTGTACTTAATCATCCATTTTTGTGCAATTACTTGAATATTCTATTGCATTTACCATATTATTTCATATACACAAACAGCAATTGAAATATTAAAGTGCTGGTACTAGCAAGACAACTATGAAAGACAGAAATCAAGCAGGCTGAGAGACGCGAATCCTGCCTCATTTGGATCTCAAGAGAATTATGCTACTAGGTTAGTTATTCATTGTGAAGGAAAAGAAGAAAATTTTCTGACCTGTTAAAAATATTTTGTTGAAATTGTTAAAAAGGGAGGTGCACTAATAAAAAAATGTAGAGATCCTTAAAAATTATGAATTGAATGTTGACTTCAAAATTTCTACTAACGTAAAATCAGCCTTCAGAAAATGCTGTTTGGGTAGAATGTTAAAAAACACTCATCAAAAGAAGCCTGGCATTCAATTTTCTCCTCAGTTTTTTAATAAAGTTGACATCGATACTATCAAATTCAACACTACAACCTTATGCTCCATCTCATTATATTACCAATGATAAAACTTTAAAA